GTAAGACTGCATAAGTTTGTACGGCCTCCCACACTTGCCACACTTCCCGAGGTATTTGTCCTTCTTGCTGCACTTAGTTTTTGTCTTTTTAACAGGAGGCTGCTCAGCAGACTGCTCCTCACAAAATATCTCCTCCTCCTCACCGAAACCCTCTGGTATTCCGTTGTCCCATTCCTTGTCGAACTCCACAAGGAATATCTCATCCACGAATTCGTCCATATTGATAAGGGACGACTCCATGTCCACAAGGGAAGTCTCCATGTCGAAGAACGCACACACGACACACACAGAGTAAGGCTCGGGGAAGACAGCACCAGCAAGCACGTGGGGCAGGGGGGTCTGCTCTGGACAACACCTGCACCGTGGACTGCTGACAACGAAGTGACCGTCTCTACCCTTACCCTACCCTCTCCATGCCTCTGCCCCATCTGGTCCAGGTCTTCGCAAAATGCCTTTCCCGTGAGAACGGTCGCCCGGGCAAGAAGTGCAGGGGCGACCAGGCTCGCTTCAGCATTAGCTGCTATTGTGCCCCAGTTGTCCTGGTATTGCTTTTATGACTCTTTTCCAAGACAGTACAGTGCTGCCCCGCCCCCATCTCGGTACCCTTCGCCTAGCCCGGCCCCGGTCCTCCGGCAGCTCACTAATCCGCAGGCCCGCGCTGGCCCGGCCTGGCGTCCGTGCTGGACCCAGGCGTCTGGGCAGCCAGCCTTTCGCGGAAAGCCCGGAAGGCAGGTATGAACGGTGGGGTCGTGCACCCATTCTGACCTCCCTGCCCTCGGCGACTGCCTGCTATCTGCATTCGCAGAAGTGAAGGCGACAAGTCTCGACACGACCACAGCAAACACAGCTAAACACTGCGATAGATCTTCCATTTCCCCCATCAAACAAATCTAATTCGTCAAAATCATGGTTCTGTGTGTTCGGTCGTCTTCCTCACGTGCATTAGAAGGGGTCGGCGGAAAAATCGCCCGAGGTATCACGGCAATCACGGCTTCATCTGCCTGCCGTGACGTCATGTCGTGCTCGCGCCTAACGTTTGAGCGCAGTGGCGCGCTACGGCGCGGGCGCGCAACAGCGCCGCTGGCGGCCAAAGGCAGAAGCTCTGGAAGCGACAGACCTCGGCCCACGGGCAGCGCAAGCGTGCACTCCTCCCCTCTTCCTCTCAAGGCGAAGCGCACAGTCGCACTGCCTAGTTACAGTCGAGGCCACTAGGGCGCGCTCGCGTCGCGGCGGGCGGCATTCAAAACGAGGCGGCGGACCGCACTCGCGTGTGTGTCAGCGTGCCGCCACCAGGTGCGACCGCGGCGGTGGCGCACAGGTACAGACCTGAATTAGGTGAGGTGACAAAGTCCCAGTCAAGGAGGGGCGGGCCCGGGAGGGGGTTTAGGTTGGGTTAGGCTCCGCCACGGAGACAGGGGGCGGGCCTAGGGCGGGTCCCGGAGGGGTGCAACCCTCCAGGGGCGTCCCGGCAAGGGGGTTAGGTTGGGTTAGGCCCCTCGCGCGACTTAGGTTCGGTTGGGTTAGGCCCGACCAAGATGAGGACCTGCTTAGGTTCACTTAGGTTAGGACCGCCCAAGATACCGATCACCAAAAATTAGGTGCGATGGGTTACCCCCCTCCACTTTGACTACCCGTTACATATCCGCTTACCGGCAGGACCCCGTTACATATCCGCTTACATACTACTGGCGTCGACCGCACCAAGCTGCTTCGGCATCGTCGAGGAGGCCATGAGATTAGGGGTAATGGACTCGCAACGGAGCTGGCCGGAATCAGGGGCGGACTGGCCCGCCCGAGCGCCCGGGGATTCCCGGGTGGGCCCTAGCCCGGCCGGGGCCCCCAAAGACCCTGTCTGCGGCCCCAGATGCCAAGGTCTAAAATCAGAGCTCCACAAAACTGCCAAATCAGTCATTTGAACAGGCTTAACGCGATGAAAAGCCCTGGCTTCTAGCTCGCTTCGCTCGCACAATGGATCACTTTGTACACTCTGGAAGGACGCCAGTTCTTAGGACCCGCCGAGGACATCTCAAATGCCCTAGCTTCATCAGCTCGCATCAGCTCCATTTTTGCTGGTTAATTGACTTTTAATCAGTTATATTCGTTTCTAGTAGAATCCGTGGGACAAGCCGAAACGTCGTGGGCGCAAAGCTCGCTTCGCTCGCACTTTGAGGTTTTTCCATTTCCTTTTAAAGATTTCTTGCATCTCACATCGCTCCTTGACGTTTTACTTACACAATTCTGTCAAATCACTTAAAACTCGAAATAAAATTACATTTACAGAGAAAACAGGCACTTTCCTGAATTTAAAAGTTTCCTTTATGATGCGGTGATTCATTCCCGGAGGGGCCCTAGCACCGCCAGTCCGCCCCTGGCCGGAATCTCTGCCTTGCTAATTGTAGTTCACTATTTCTCCGACTAAATATGCGATTTTTGAGATGGCTCGGGCATTTTTGGAAAGAAGACATCTTAGAGTATGCCCTAAATTCAAAAAAGTTTCAATTTTCCCACCAGGGCTCGAACAGGAACGTCTTAACCGTTGCGCTACTCAAATGCGCAGGGCGACGGCCATGGTGAGGGGCGACGCAGGGGGGAAGCATCTTCAACTTGCGATAGAAGCTTCCCGATGCCACAAAAGTGATGGGACATAGTTTGTCTTCGACATATATCGAGGGGCACCACTTGTCCCATCACTTTTGCGGCATCCGGAAGCTTCTAGCGCAAGTTGAAGATGCGTCCCCCCTGCGTCGCCCCTGGCACCATGGCCGTCGCCCTGCGCATTTGAGTATAGCGCAACGGTTAAGGGGGCTCATACGTTTTATACATGACTTCGGTTTTCTTAGTGTTAAATATTTTGGGACAAAAATTTTCGAGTTTCTGGGCAAAAATCCTAGTAAAAAATAGAAAAATGAACATTTCCAAAAAAAAAAGTTTGAGATTGGACCATTTTTGTAGATTTTATGATAAAGTCTAAAATTTTCATTCTCGTAAGATTCAGACCGCAATTCTGGTTCGATTTGAAAAAAAAAATTACTGGAGACTCCTTTCTATGCCTGCTATAGAATTGACTACAATTGTGCTTCTAAGTTCAGTAGTTTGGGAGAAAAAAAATAATCTTCATTTTTTTACTAAAATGTATCAAATTTATTAATTGAAAAAAAATTTTCATCAACTAAATCTTGTCCAATCCTCGTCATTGTAGTCAATTCTATGCTTACTGATGTTGCGAACACTCAGTTAAAATTTCAGACCTCAAACCAAAGCGAGTCATTAGTTATCTTACGAGCAAGGTCAAAAAAAGGCGAGCTGAGAAAACAGGGGTCAAAGGTCACGCCTCCACCTCCGGGGGTCGCTGGATACGTGTTGGGGGACAGTGCAGAACAATGCTGTGCGAGCTCCTGTGGCGCGAGTTTTACGAATTCGGACCTCTCCTTAGGCTTAAAAGACGCGGAAATGAGTGCTTTTTCTCAAGGCATCGTAACCAGAAAACCGATATTTTGACCATTTCAAAACGTATGAGCCCCCTTAAGCTGTTCCTGTTCGAGTCCTGGTGGGAAAATTGAAACTTTTTTGAATTAAGGGCATACTCTAAGATGTCTTCTTTCCAAAAATGCCCGAGCCATCTCAAAACTCGCATATTTAGTCGGAGAAATACTGAACTACAATTAGCAAAGCAGAGATTCCGGCCAGCTCCGTTGCGAGTCCATTACCCCTAGTCTTATGAGGAGGCTCGAGCTCGTGACATTTTGTCACGTTCGTTTCAACGTTGTGTCACGTAACTGAAATGAGAGTGTGTACAGCGCAACCACATGTGACGTTTGAGTGAGTTTGAAAAACAAAACACGTTTGAAAAGCGCCTTTAAAATGCTTCAGCAGCTGTTTTCCACCGCCTCATTTGGGGATGTTCCCCCGGGCTGGCTCAAAATTTGACGTTTGGGCATTGCGGCATTTGAGCATTGCGGCAAAAGTTTGTCATTTCGGCGTCCCGAGTCGTTTTCCCGCCCACATTTAGGGACGTTCCCCGGCCCCCGCCGGGCTCAAAATTTGACATTTGCTTGTGATTGTGGCACAGTTAGCGGGGCACTGCGCGGAAAGAGTCTACCTTGCTTCTATAACGCACAATTATTCTCCAAAAACGTGCCCTTACGCCACGCTCGCCGAGCACTGCGGCATAAGTCTGTCATTTCGGCGTCCGGAGCCGTTTTCCCGTCCTCATTTAGGGACGTTCCCCGGCCCCTATCAGGTTCAAAATTTGGCATTTGGTTGTGATTGTGGCATAGTTTGCGGAGCACTGCGTGAAAAGAGTCTAGCGCGCTTCATTTTTGCAACATGTATCGTCAAAAACCCCTGTGCGTGCTAATCTGGTAACGCCGCGGCTCGCCGGCCGAGCTGCAATGTCCCCAAAAAAATCGATTATCTCAAACTCCAGGTCAAATTTGAAAAATCGACCACCTGGAGCGTGTTTAGGACACTCCACTTTATTGATCCCGCCGAAGACGCAACGTGTTCTGCGCACCGTTAAGGATTTGGACGGCTTTGAACACCACCTTGTTAAATTTCCCGAAATTTGGACTTTGAGGCCTCGCAGAATCGGCCTCAGTCACAATTTTGACAAGTGCTCGACGGCAACGTGATCTTTGAACCCTTCTTAAGCAACCCTGAAAATTTGGTTCGGAAATTCCAACTGGAAGTCCCACTTTTGGGCCAAAACTCGCGGCCGCGACGCGGAAACCACCGCCGTGCGCTGCGGGTTGCCTACCCGAAATTCCCGTAAGGCGCCATGTTAAATTTAACCCTTCATAACTTTTTTCCTAAGGGATAAAAAAAATGCGTCTGCGGGTCAAAACGTTTCTTTTGGCCTTAACAATCGATGTGCAAAGCGGCATTGCATGCGGAAAAAGTGCAGGGTCATTTGACTAACACCGGCCACTATTATCGAAATGTTACAGCACACAAGTGCGCCACAGAACTTCCAAACGCCATGTTGATTTTCAAAGTGCTCATCATGCCAGCTGCCACGAAAATGACGCTCGAGTAATCAGAGCCCTTTAAATAGCAAGGAGAACTGCGTGTTCCTCAATCAGCGTTCAGTCCACACGACAGCAACATGTCTCGCACTCTTCTTATCGTCCTGGCCCTGGTGGTGGCGACCGCATACGCCGTGAGTCCAATAGCCTTACTACTTCTCGTTCAAGACGAACTTTGTTATAAAGTATATTCTAAGAAAGTGCAAAAAGACGACTCACATTTCTTCACTGTTTGATAAGTCGGCACGGAAACACTGGTGAAACAAAAGCGCAGTGTAACCGTGTTCTCAAGCGTAACAGGCCGCCGGGGAAATTTCTATTGACTGCTGCATTTCACGCGTAACGTCTGCAATCGTAACTTTATGCTTTATTCAATCAAGCATAGAGTAACGCTTTTGTTTTACCAGTGAATAAATGGATTGGATGTCGCACTTAAATATTGACGACTGTTATGTCTTGGTCCAGATGAGACTTCAATTGGCACAGCTTACATAAGCTACAATGGCATTTCAATTTGCGAAGCGATAAACAACGTCCACGCCTACCGTGGAACGCAACGGCGTCACTACACTGAGAACCCAAACGCTATGGGTGTAGCGTAGGGTTTTAAAATTACCGGTCATTTTCAACCCTGACGGTAATTTACGGTAAAATTGGTAATTTACCGTAATTTACGGTAAAAATCGAGAATATTGAAAAAACCCTGAAATAAACATCAAGGAAAAGGAAAATCATCAAAAATAATATAGATCAAGTTGAAAACGTTTAATTTTTTGATTGGAATGGCATTACAAAATAAAAAAATTCCAATGCTAATCGCATTGCAAGGTGTTCCCATTTTCACATTTGGCTATTTTTAAATAGCCATGTATTGGACCGTGCAGTGCCAACTGTTCAATGATTATGAGAAAATCCAAAAATTTCAAAGTGCGCATGCGCTAAATTCAAAATAACCAATAGAAAAGAGTTCTGGTCAAACCTGATTCAGTTAATACCATGACCACCTCACTCCATCTCGTGACTAACAGTGCTCATGTTCGCCAAACGAAAGTCACCCGCGTTCCGAAGTCACCCCTCCCGAGTTTATAAAGTTTGTCAAACCAACCATGGTGCTGTTTTCACGTTGTGAGTAAGAACTGTTCTACAGAATTGAGGAAAACATGACAAGACAACCGCAGCCTTTAAAAGCATGCCAAACAATCCAACCTCAGCAACAATGGAGGGGCAGTTTCAATGCGCGCCTACTCGTTTTTTCAGCCTCGCGATTTTCGAAAGGGGTCCAGTGTGGTCGACGAATCGGTCCATTGATGCTTTGCGCTTCACACCTCCGCCTCCAGACGAGTGTGATGAGTCCGCGCCTTGCAGTGAAGAGGTGGACGCTGCAGATGTAGTTGCAGTCCCACTGTTATCAACACTCATTCTGTCGCCGTCACCTGCAAAAAAGTCCCGCAAGCCTCAATAAAATTACGTTTAAAAGTTCGCGCTCTTCCCGCCCCGGTCCCTTCCGTTCGGACTCAGATACGCGCATGCGCGACCAGGCCGACGAGGTATTCCCCTCGCCTCGCACACAGAGCACAGCACACCCCACCCTTCCCCTTCCCCTCCCCTGACTCTTCCCCCGTCGGGGAACCCTAACCTCACTTTATAAATCATATAGTCTTACCTGGATCGTCTGGATCTGCTTGAGAGCTGGTCGATGGCGTGGATGTAGATGGGACAGGAAATTCTGGGGCATACCTGGCCCTGACCAGGGCAGGTACCAGCTTGCATTCATGTAAAATGTGTTTCTTCTGGCGCGTTATGTTGGGCACATAAATTTTCCCACAGTATTTGCAAGTGGCTTTGGACTTTCCAGCGTCGTCCTTCGATTCCAAAAAACAAGCGTGCACCTCCAGCTTTCCACGCACCATGGTGGACCTGAGCAATAACACAGAAATCGCTCTCAAAAACTGGTCAGGAAATTCGCCTTGGCCGTCCCAGGCCTTCGGCGCGCTCAAATTTTCTGTGGGTTGAGGGCTGAAAACAGCTTTGCTTACCTTGGCGTGCACCGTGCGTCTTGAGTTCAGAATGTAGAATCTCACATTTACAATTTCTAGTCAAAAACAACTATTTTATCGCAGCTTTAGACGCGCAGCGTCTCTGTTACACCACCGCAACAAAGTTGAGTATTCCCCCCTGTGCGAGTCGGCCTGTCGGCCCGGGTCTAGAAGGCGCTGACAGGGACTGGCGATCAGGGAGGGCGGAGGGCGGCAAATTTAAACGATGCAAATGCAAATCCACAACTAAAACTAACCATACAACGCAGATTTCAGCCTCTTTCTCAATATTCTCGTTTTTTACCTATTTTACCGGGGTCCGGGTAAATTACCGTAAATTACCGGTAAATTACCGTTTCTTACCGGTAAATTTACCGGGCTTTAAATCCCTAGTGTAGCGTCAGTCAATTGATCCAGGAAGCGGAAGGAGGGAATAACTTGACTTATCTCCAAATTGAGTTTCTATTTTATTGATGTGCCTTAGAATGATTTACATCAGTACACCAAACTATTTGATTCAATTCTTACCAGTTAAAGAGAAAATTCACGTGGCAAAATGATATATCTCAACGTTACCCCATTAACAGTCCAAGTTTCATCGGAAAATGGAGATAACTCAGCCAAAGTCGACATGAGTCTGTTTAAAAAAGTTGACCAAAGGATATAACTTAACTTGTATTTTTATAAATCTAGTGTAAAAAGGATCAAGTCAACTTATTCCCCCTTCATTTTTAAATTTTAAGTTGGAAAAACAGCCAAGTCCAAAAAATACACCTGAGGAACAAACACTTTACGCGGACTATTAGCTCCACTTGACTTGTCTCCAAATTCCTCTTGGAATTTGGAAATTTGGAAATACGAGTTAAGCTGACTCTGTTTTCAATTAAAACGGAAAGTGATAAGTTGTAGAAACACTCTTCAAAGTGAACTTACACTTTAAATGTGTGTTTTTTTTTCTTTTCTCAAAATTTGACACATACTTTTTGAGATTATTATTATCTGCAACATTCATTTGTTTTGTTTTAGTTGCCATCAGTTTTTTGTTTCTCCTTGAAAATGGCCAAAATTGAGTCATCCCCTTCTTCCTCTTCCTGGATCAGTTGGTACAATGCGTTTGAACCCATTTTCACCACACCGATTGGTGCAATGCCTTCCCATGCATAAGCATAGGGCATTTTGGGGAAGCATCGCGGAAAGATGCGATGTGGCTTGCACTGATGGTATTATGGTGCGATGTCTCAATGCATTGCACCACATGGGTAAAGATCATAGAGTTTGGAATCACAGTGTACGTGGTTTGAGCTAACTTGCTGCTCGCCATCTTTCTGCAACAAATAATTACGATGCATTTTACGATCTGCATTGTTGCTATTCACAGCAAATGGCTATGGATATTAGGGTGGGCCGTAAATGTTTTTATGTTTTTATGGTGTACCAGGCTTGAATGTTTTTGTTGGAGTGCCTGATTTCGTTGCTAGCAGGAACAGAATTTTGCTCGCTTTTGAGGGACAATTTTGACTAGCACCTTTAACAATGTGTTCTATCGGCGAACACTTGGGCCATACGTGCGAGCAAGAAACGCCATTCAAGAAGAAAAAGACTTTAGTGCGGAGGAATGGAAGATACTTCGCTTGCGATCTGGCAGATCGTCACTGCAAACTGTGTGTGATTCTCATGAATTGTCGTACTTAACCCTGTTTGAGCATTTGTTATGCTGTAATCCTTTACCAAACTACCACCTCAAGGGGTCAGTGGGAGGAACAAAAGTCATAACTTATAGCCTCTACAAGAAGGCAAAGGTCACCCTGCATTTAGTGCCTGGAAAGAAGCTTTGCAAGTCATGCTTTGGGGAGATCAGCAATTTAGTTGGTGACGCGCCCCGGGAGCCTCGTGGAGCTAGGTTTTGACGCCGTCTCAAGACTTTTTCATGTCGATCGGCTCAAAAAAGCATTAACCGGCAAAGCCCGGCTACACAGGGCAGTTATCCCAAGTGGAAGAAAAAGGACGCATGCCCTGCCTTATTCGGAAGGATGCAGCCGGATTTAGTCACAGTCTGAAGGCTCTATCCTTTTCGCTCTACTTGGGAAATGCCCTTCCTGGTAAACCCGGCTGCAAACTGCAGTTATCAAAGGGTGCGGGTCCAAACGTGGAAAAAATGTCAAGCAGGCCGCCCTGGCTCACATGTAGGGTGTTTTTGCTGTCTGAAGGCTCTATCAACGCGTGGCTTTGAGCGGGAAATGCCCAGAGCGGTCGGTAAATCCCGCCTACAAGCGGCAGTTGTCACAAGTGCCGGACCTGAGTGGAGCAGAATTTATGTCCAGCCAACTTCACAATGATGTAGCCGGGTGTTGTCGCTGTCTGAGTGCTCTGCCCGGCAAGGGCGAGTCGCATCCGAATCTGGGCCCATTATTTCATAGTTCACTCTCGTTGTTTGTCAAAGTCATCCCCACGACCATCGTGTTTTCAGAGTGTACGCAAACTTTAACAAACATTGTTGGGAGAAGAAGAGATCCAACATTTGCGTCGAATATTTTATTTCATCTCAGTTCTTAGCTTTAACAATAGATGATCTCTAGTCCGAGCTGGTACCACGGGAGGTTTCACTCGCCCCCAGGCACATGTTATCCTGGGTTTGCACCCTTTTGCTTGCTAGGTGGAGAGGGGCTTGGCGAGGGACTCGATGAGGCACTGCTTGGCGGTGGCCGTGACGGCAGCTTCGGGGGTAGGGGAGTAGTCCAGCAGGCATTTGACGATGTAATTAGGTAGAGCCTCCTTCTTGATTCCGAAGCTCACTTGATCTTTAGATTCCCTATAGCAGTACCCCCCGGGGGCTTCGAAGGATCCCGAGGTAGGAATAGGCTCCAAGCATACCCAGACGCGGTCATTAAGCTCCTTCTGCTGGGCGGGGGTGTAGTGGTGCTGTGCAAACAAAACGAAACACGGACGTTAGCTGTTAATTAGCTGTTAATAGCTGTTAATGTTCATTGGCGTGTGTAAGTTTTCGACTGATTGGCTAAACCGTGCAGGCGTATTTCATACATCACTCACGAAGTTTTTAACAGATGATATGAAACATCATCTCGTTAGGACTCTCAACACAATAAACATTCATCTATGGACATTTATTTGTTCACAGAATCATGAACACTTCAGATGTCCATACCAGGCTCTGAACAATTATTGTGAGTGCTTATGCACTGTTCTGTTCGTAATTGGACGGAAAAATGTCTATGGACGAAGTCTAGAGACAAAATTGCAATCAAAAGGGAAACGTTTTTAAGCGTTACCAAATGTACACATAATTGTCCATGGCTTTTAAACAATAGTATGTGCAACTGTGTACAAACTTGTCCGTCGGTAGGACACATCTCTTTGTTTCTAGACCTTGGGGACTAACAATGTCTATGGCTTATGGACATATTTGTTTCATTTTCTAAAGACTTTTGTTATGGACTTTCTTGTGAACATCATTACGGACATAGTTGTCCACATTTATGAACTATGAAGCGATTAGTTTATGCAAAAAAGCTTCAAAAAATTTGTGGACAAATTTGTCTATGGTTTGTCTTTGAATTTGTCGCCATTTGTTAACGCTTAAAAACGTTCCCGCCTTAGACACAAAATCGTTCGTTAACTGGTAACAAAAATATCCATTAGGGTGGGCCGTAAAACACGATTTTTCGATATCGCAAACGTAATAGCGCGCCAAAGTTACTTCATGGCAATACAAACTCAACGCGATCTGGGCCAGGTCTGTAACTTAAAGCTTGACCCTCGCGCATCGACGTTGAAAATTCGAAAATTTGACTTTTACGGGTTTTTCTAAAAACAGCCATAGAAACTGAACCTGATGTCCAAATGATGTTTCCGAGACGGAAATGGAAACGTCTGATCATGCTTTATCAGTTTAAGACCACCGGGACCCTCTACGAGCAGTAGGGGACTGATGAGAGAAAATTACAAAATTACTATTTTTTCCGTTTTTTACAAAATGCAAAAATTGCCTTCAGGGTTTGATACGGCCATCCTGACGTCACCGTACCCGAACCATACCCCGAATCATCTTCTCTAAGGACCCCTTCCCCGTTTTCAGCGCACGGGGTACCCCGGGATCCGTTCACATGTTAGGATTTGGACGTCAAAAATACATGTTTTACTAAAAATGCAAATTATCGGTACTCAGGGCACTGTAGGGCACTCGTCTTGTCCGTATGAACTGTAGTGACTTAAAATCGATTACTAGATGGTGTCTTTTCGTCGCAGGAACCCACCAGTATATAGACAATCGGACGAAGAGACCTTTAGCACGCTATTTGCACTGTAAATCTCGTTAATCTGGACTTAAAACGTATTTCAGGCCATAAATGGCTCGTCTGGATTAACGACAGAAGGTGGTTGCACGTTTATACGGGTTATTCTTATCCATTGTGTAGATTCTCATTTCCTTTCTCGCCGTTATGTCCGTTTGCAACGGCCCATGGAACATACTTATGCTTAGTGCGCTGTGGAGTTGAGCCCCCCGTAGACAGGCCCCTGTTTCGTTTGTCTTCGTTATGGCAGGGGGTGGCAACGGCCTAGGGAGAGCGTGAAGCGATGCTCGCGCCGTCAGTGCAGAGGTTGCGCACTTGTTCGAGATTATAAAAACTAGACTGTGTTTTTCAAAACACTTTGCACCGATGGAAAGGGCTTGAAATTTAGGGTGCATTAGGCTAATACATGTTTTACTAAAAATGCAAATTATCGGTACTCAGGGCACTGTAGGGCACTCGTCTTGTCCGTATGAACCAGGGGCGGACTGGCCCGGGCGGCTAGGCGGCGATCGCCGCCTGGGCCCTTGGGCCCGAAGGGCCCCTGGTCTTGCTCCAAAAGACGTAAATGGGCCAAAGGGCCCCTGGACTTACTTCAAAAGACCTAAATAGACCAAAGGGCCCTAGATTCGCTCGGAGTCCGATGGGGCTCAAGGAACAAGGGCCCAAGGCCTCATGGTCTCAAAGAGCAAGGGCCTTTTGGCCTTTTCTGGGCTACAGAGCAAGGGCCCAAAATTCGCCTAAGAAAAAGGGCCCCCAAAGGGCTACAGGGCCGCCAGGCCGCCCACAAAGGGCCAACTAGTTCAAGAGCCTTAAAGGGGCTACAGGACAAGGGTGCACAAGTGCAAGGGCCCAAAGAGGGCCCAAGAAAAAGGGCCCAAAAAGGGCTACAGGACAAGGGAGCACAAAGGGCCCACACGAGCATGGGCCCAAAACCGGCCTTCTAAGCAAGGGCTCAAAAAGTGCCCAAAAAGCAAGCATGGGCTCGAAAGGGGCCCACAGGGGAAAGGATAAAAAAATTATAGATTTCAAATTTTTTACAAAGCATTACCTGCTTTTTTCCTGATTTGAATGCTATTTTTTGTGGGGGGGGGTCGCACAATGTTCCGGGGCCCCTAGAGGAACCCTCCGCCAGGGCCCTTTTGGTCCCAGTCCGCCCCTGGTATGAACTGTAGTGAATCAAAATCCATTACTAGATGGTGTCTTTGCGTCACAGGCACCTACCAGTATATTGACAATCGGATAACGCCATTTCCATTGAAGGTTCGGTTAAATCCGTTTTTCAAACATCCGGTTTCCACTGTACTGCTCTTGGCTCGCCCGGAAAATCCGAGACGACTCAGACCTCACCACGAGAAGGTGGCAGCATGTCGAGATTCACCACCACCCTTACCCACCCAACCACTGGTGGGGCTACGACACTTTTAAAAAGACCGTTCATTTGAAGGAAAAACACTGTTAAAAATAATCGTAAATTTGCGACATTTTGTAGAACAATTATGTCGTTTTTAAACGACATATTTTGTTACGACTCAAGTCGTAAATATACGACTTGAGTCGTAGATGTACGACATATTTGTCGCTAATTTTGATAGCGACACGTTTCGTTTTAAAACGAATTAAGTCGTAAATTTACGACTTAATCGTAAGTTTACGAACAATCGTAAATTATCTTTGGAATATGTCGTGCAGTTATGACTTCAGTCGTACATTTACGACTCTTGTCGTAAATTTGTGGTATAAATCGTAAATAAACGACACAAATCGTAAATAAGTGAGCAAAATTGTAACTTTTCACCTCCTTTTCGGGGATTTCAGGTGTCAAAATATGTAATCGTGATTACGACATTGTCGTAGAGAAATGATTTTTTAGTCGTTCAGTTACGACGAAGTAGTTTAGGAACGATTTCCGTCGCTATCAAAATTAGCGACTTTTTTGTCGCTAATTTACGACAGAATTTCTAACAGTGAAGGTACGGCTAGACCGTACCACACGATGTACAGAACAGCTGTACCCAAAAACCGTGCTTCCCATGAGATCCTATGTCATGAAAAACCGTACTCCGTACCCCAAAAGCCGTACTGGCTGAGGTACGGTGGTACCACACGTAAAAAAAGAATTTGTTGTGACAACGAAAATGTATGTTGATTTTGGGATAGCTAAAAAAAGTTGTTGGGCGTACTACCAATTTGTTGTCAGAACGAACATTTCGTTCTGACAACGAACTATGTCGTCAGGAGTACTAAACACAATAAAAATGAATGTTTGTACTCCTGACGAATAATTTGTCGTGAGAGCAAAGTGTTCGTTCTCACAACAAATTTATAGTACGTCTAACAATTTTTTTTTTTGCTATCCCAAAATCAACATACATTTTCGTTGTCACAACAAATTCTTTTTTTCCGTGCAGGCAAATGTTCTACGAGACTGTGCCTGTATTTTTCCCGTGGATTTTTCCTACAGCGCATGTATAAGTTGACACCTTGATACTGTATGCAGGAGAATGGAGCAAAACGCGAAGGTACAGTACGCCAGAACGAAGGTAAATGTTTACCTGTAAGAAGGCATCACTTCCAAAATTGGTCAACTGGCGTTACATGTCCCTGCGGCTGTCGCAGGCAGTCCTACGCACAAATTTTAACGGTATTGAGAAACTACCATAACCAGGGGGCGGCAACGGCCTAGGAAGCGCGTGAAGCCATGCGCGAGTGACTTGCAGGGGTTACTTATTTTATTTTGCTTCGATTGTAAGATCTAGGCCGTTGGTCGCAAAACGCTTTGCACAGATCGAAGGAGCACAAAATTTGGGGTGCATTAGGCTTAGTAGACTGCTCGATGCTTCCAATTCAACCGAACACAAGGGCGAAATCATTTACATCAACATGGCGCATTCGAGTTTTTTCCTCAATGTTATGATTTTTGTGTTTTTCGGTGTTTTTACTGCACCTTAATATTAGGTAAGGGGAGAGTTTCGAGAAGAGCAATTAGCCTAATGCACCCTAAATTTCAAGCCCTTTCCATCGGTGCAAAGTGTTTTGAAAAACACAGTCTAGTTTTTATAATCTCGAACAAGTGCGCAACCTCTGCACTGACGGCGCGAGCATCGCTTCACGCTCTCCCTAGGCCGTTGCCACCCCCTGCCATAACGAAGACAAACGAAACAGGGGCCTGTCTACGGGGGGCTCAACTCCACAGCGCACTAAGCATAAGTATGTTCCATGGGCCGTTGCAAACGGACATAACGGCGAGAAAGGAAATGAGAATCTACACAATGGATAAGAATAACCCGTATAAACGTGCAACCACCTTCTGTCGTTAATCCAGACGAGCCATTTATGGCCTGAAATACGTTTTAAGTCCAGATTAACGAGATTCACTCTACAAAAAATGTCCTGTCAACGCCGTTAATTTATTACCAATGTTTGCTGTTATGCAATTCACGGCGTTTGCTGTGAACTAGTTCACGGCGTTCACTGTCATCTCGGTTACAGTGTTCACTGTGATCTGGCCACAGTAAACGCCGTGAATTGGAGCCTGATTTGCAGTACTTCGGTGCTTAGCGGCGTCAAACTCACAGTGTTTACTGGGGACCAGATCACAGTGAACACCGCGAACAAGATCACAGTGAATCCCGTGAGCAGCTCACAGTAAACGCTGTGAATTGACCTAAAGTGAAAACTGGTAATAAATTAACGGCATTTACAGGACATTTTTGGTAGAGTGTTTACAGTGCAAATAGCGTGCTAAAGGTCTCTTCGTCCGATTGTCTATATACTGGTGGGTTCCTGCAACGAAAAGACACCATCTAGTAATCGATTTTAAGTCACTACAGTTCATACGGACAAGACGAGTGCCCTACAGTGCCCTGAGTACCGATAATTTGCATTTTTAGTAAAACATGTATTTTTGACGTCCAAATCCTAACATGTGAACGGATCCCGGGGTACCCCGTGCGCTGAAAACGGGGAAGGGGTCCTTAGAGAAGATGATTCGGGGTATGGTTCGGGTACGGTGACGTCAGGATGGCCGTATCAAACCCTGAAGGCAATTTTTGCATTTTGTAAAAAACGGAAAAAATAGTAATTTTGTAATTTTCTCTCATCAGTCCCCTACTGCTCGTAGAGGGTCCCGGTGGTCTTAAACTGATAAAGCATGATCAGACGTTTCCATTTCCGTCTCGGAAACATCATTTGGACATCAGGTTCAGTTTCTATGGCTGTTTTTAGAAAAACCCGTAAAAGTCAAATTTTCGAATTTTCAACGTCGATGCGCGAGGGTCAAGCTTTAAGTTACAGACCTGGCCCAGATCGCGTTGAGTTTGTATTGCCATGAAGTAACTTTGGCGCGCTATTCCCTGTTGTGGTGGGACGAATGATTTTCTAGTTCTATTCTTGCTGTTTTTCTATGCGTATTAATAGGACCTTTCATTTATCCTGGCTGCTTCTTGTTACAGGTGCCTCTTCCTTCTCCTTCAAATACGTACTCAGAAGTTAATGGCTCGCAGCTGTACAATGTTACGCAGGGATCCTGCGACATGGATTTGACATGTGAATCTCCTTCTACTGCATGACATTATATTGCTTTATCATTTTGTTATTTAAGAATATTACGTTTGCGATATCGAAAAATCGTGTTTTACGGCCCACCCTAATGGATATTTTTGTTACCAGTTAACGAACGATAGGGTACTTCGGAGGAAAACTAGACCGGAAGTCAGCGACAGAACGGGAGAAACAAATGAGCGTCGTGCGGCCGTGCTGAGCGGTGGAGGGGGCCGGAATCGGCAGAGTGGGGGCAGCATGCGCGCGCCGCCTTCACCCCCACTCCGCCGATTTCGACCCCCACCACCGCTCAGCACGGCCGCGCGATGCTCTTTTGTTTCTCCTGTTCTGTCGCTGACTTCCGGTCTACGCTTTCTCCGAAGTACCCTATTTTGTGTCTAAGGCGGGAACGTTTTTAAGCGTTAACAAATGGCGACAAATTCAAAGACAAACCATAGACAAATTTGTCCACAAATTTTTTGAAGCTTTTTTGCATATAAACTAATCGCTTCATAGTTCATAAATGTGGACAACTATGTCCGTAATGATGTTCACAAGAAAGTCCATAACAAAAGTCTTTAGAAAATGAAACAAATATGTCCATAAGCCATAGACATTGTTAGTCCCCAAGGTCTAGAAACAAAGAGATGTGTCCTACCGACGGACAAGTTTGTACACAGTTGCACATACTATTGTTTAAAAGCCATGGACAATTATGTGTACATTTGGTAACGCTTAAAAACGTTTCCCTTTTGATTGCAATTTTGTCTCTAGACTTCGTCCATAGACATTTTTCCGTCCAATTACGAACAGAACAGTGCATAAGCACTCACAATAATTGTTCAGAGCCTGGTATGGACATCTGAAGTGTTCATGATTCTGTGAACAAATAAATGTCCATAGATGAATGTTTATTGTGTTGAGAGTCCTAACGAGATGATGTTTCATATCATCTGTTAAAAACTTCGTGAGTGATGTATGAAATACGCCTGCACGGTTTAGCCAATCAGTCGAAAACTTACACACGCCAATGAACATTAACAGCTATTAACAGCTAATTAACAGCTAACGTCCGTGTTTCGTTTTGTTTGCACAGCACCACTACACCCCCGCCCAGCAGAAGGAGCTTAATGACCGCGTCTGGGTATGCTTGGAGCCTATTCCTACCTCGGGATCCTTCGAAGCCCCCGGGGGGTACTGCTATAGGGAATCTAAAGATCAAGTGAGGTACGGAATCAAGAAGGAGGCTCTACCTAATTACATCGTCAAATGCCTGCTGGACTACTCCCCTACCCCCGAAGCTGCCGTCACGGCCACCGCCAAGCAGTGCCTCATCGAGTCCCTCGCCAAGCCCCTCTCCACCTAGCAAGCAAAAGGGTGCAAACCCAGGATAACATGTGCCTGGGGGCGAGTGAAACCTCCAGTGGTACCAGTTCGGACTAGAGATCATCTATTGTTAAAGCTAAGAACTGAGATGAAATAAAATATTCGACGCAAATGTTGGATCTCTTCTTCTCCCAACAATGTTTGTTAAAGTTTGCATACACTCTGAAAACATGATGGTCGTGGGGATGTCTTTGACAAACAACGAGAGTAAACTATGAAAATGGGCCCAGATTCGGATGCGACTCGCCCTTGCCGGGCAGAGCACTCAGACAGCGACAACACCCGGCTACATCATTGTGAAGTTGGCTGGACATAAATTCTGCTCCGCTCAGGTCCGGCACTTGTGACAACTGCCGCTTGTAGGCGGGATTTACCGACCGCTCTGGGCATTTCCCGCTCAAAGCCACGCGTTGATAGAGCCTTCAGACAGCGAAAACACCTGGCTACATGTGAGCCAAGGCGGCTTGCTTGACATTGTTTTCCACGTTTGGACCCACACCCTTTGATTACTGCTGTTTGCAGCCAGGTTTACCAGGAAGGGCATTTCCCAAGTAGAGCGAAAAGGGTAGAGCCTTCAGACTGCGACTAAACCCGGCTGCATCCTTCCGAATAAGACAGGGCATGCGTCCTTTTTCTTCCACTTGGGATAACTGCCCTGTGTAGCGGGGCTTTGCCGGTAAATGCTTTTTTGAGCCGATCGACATGAAAAAGTCTTGAGACGGCGTCAAAACCTAGCTCCACGAGGCTCCCGGGGCGCGTTGCTGGTTTGACCTTGTCAGCGTCACTTGTAAAGCTGAGTGCTTATTGTCGTGGAGAAAAAGAACAGAGCAATTCCCTTTGTGCATGGACTGTAATCGACTTTATGTCTCGTCAAAAAACTGTAAGTGGATAGTTTTTGGCTGAGCCGTATGATAAAGATCTGTTGACAGCTAACAGCGCTCATGATGATGATTAGCGAAGCCAGTTACCCCAGTGGGGTTGAAAAACTTTTCATGTCGGTCTGTGTGACTATAACTATCCCTTATGCACTAGATAGCTGCTTTTGTTAGAGTGTACATGGCATGTATGCACTAGTTTAAGCATGCTTGGCAGGCATGCTCTAACTAGAGCGTGCTTGCAGGCAGTCTGTGTGACTATCCCTTATGCACTAGTTTAAGCATGCTTGGCAGGCATGCTCTAACTAGAGCTAGTTTCATAGCTTTTGGTCTGTTTTTAACCTAATCAAAGATTAGATTGAAAATACAGCGGGGGGGAGAATCGGACACTGGCACGGGGAAAAATCGCGAGGGGTGGTTGGCTGGGCATACAGCGTTTGTTTGCGCGCCACGGTGGTTGGCAGTTTTGTTTTGTGTGGCTTTGCAGGAAGACTATGTGTTCAGAAATATTATTTTTCCTTATTTGATTACGATTTCGGTACTTTTATCCGTAAGTTCTCTGTTCACCACTTCAGGACTCGTAAATACTTGTTGTTTAACATGCAGCTTTTGATTCATGTGTCGTTTTACTTCTAGCTAGAACATGAGCCAGTGATCTGACGAAAGCCATTCAAGATGAGAAAGAGACAATGTCACTCCGGGCCGGCGCCAAAGCCTTGGGAATTAGCCCTGACACCCTGAAAAAGAGGATGGCTTGATGGTGGCTGTGAGGCAAATGCTGAGAGGAGGGGAAAGAAGACTGTTATATCCTCTGATGATGAACTTGCTTAGCTGACCACCTTAGAACTTTGACCAAATGGGGTTATGCTCTCACGTTCGGTTGATTGTACAAGAATGTTGTAAAGAAAACAAAATAATGCATTTCGTCAAAAGTAGCGTGCCAGGTAAGGAGTGGTTCCTAGACTTCTGACGTAGACAAAGCCTACAGTTGAAAGCTACTGAACCGCTTGAAAAGGCAAGACGGCACAACACTTCTGATCCGTTCCTTGTCTCTGAACTGCACTACAAAATCAAATGTGTGCTTAGTACACCTGTGGGAGTATACTATATCTATAGGTGTGTACTTGACAAGCATACATCTATAGATGTGTGAGGGAGAGTCGGGTGATTGGCTGAGCGATAGCGAAGCCCGTTACTCCAGTGGGGTTGAAAAGTTTTGTCTGTCTGTCTGCGTGCGTGTGTGCGTGCACTACTCCTCCTGAACGGCTCGGCCGATCTGGCTGAGATTTTGCAGGGTCATTAGGTATGTCCTTGGCTCGCCACACACCAAAATGCAGCTTTCTATCTCAATCCATTCGGTCATATAAGCCAAAAAACACTTCAAAAACGACAGAAAAAAAAACAACTTTTTTGGTACTTTCAACTTTTTGTCAAGTTTCATATCGTTTCATATGTTTTTGAGGCTGCCGATGACGAAAATAGAACCCGTTCGGGCCACCGATCGAAAGTTAAATCCCATTGGTGTAGATTTTGATGACCAAATACTATTTTTTGAGGGGATCACGCCCATCTCTACGGTCTGCCTAGGGAAGCAGCCTGCCGGAGGCAGGTTAGCGCCGCAGGCCAAGGTAGGTGAATACACCAGGCGTGGATGGTCGAAACTGGCGCAGCATCGCGAAGCCTGTTACGACCAGACACGGTCTGGCGTACACCTACCTTGTTTGTAACAGGAGCGATTCAACAAATGAGTTTATTAATTTAAGTGGAGGGAGCACAGGAAAATGTGAGTATGGTCCCTCTTTCGCTTCAAGTACAGGATCCCTCAACAATCGAAGCGGATGTGATCGGTGCTCAGGTATAGTTTTGGAGGGCGTCTGAAATAAAGGGTACACCGGAAAGAGGCAAATCTTTTATTTTGAGTTCTAGGAAGTTTCTGTCTGAGGCTCCCCAGGTATTTATCACCATCGAAGTACCGTTGGGGCCAACTTCATCTTCACGAAATTCGGGCCCCTAAATGTACGTTTCGATGCAAACCACCCATCTAGTGCAATGAATGAGATTAACATTACCCATTTTCCATAAATTTATATCTGAAATGCATCTTCATTGATAATTTTTTCCTTGTATAAATCTCAAACGTAGACGACAGGCTTTAATTTTCGGATCAAACGAGTTAGTTGCTATCACCGTGCCATTGATTGACGTGAAAGAAATGCATAGGTCGGAGGACTTGGTGACGCAAGCTTTGCCAGCTTGGCAGGCTCGGATATAGTTTCAGAGAAATCACAATCAGTTTTAGGAGTATCATTGAAAGCATACTCATAAACGAACTTTAACTACAATCGGAAAACCCTGCAAGGGCAGAGTTGGCAGGCAAATGACACAATAAACTTCTTACGGATACTACGTGGCCGTAATACAGACAATTTTGTGCAATCATAGTCACTGATGGATTTTGCTTAAAAAACGAATGATTTCACCGCAACAACCTGATTTCGTCGTCCGCACCTTCGTATGTTATTGACACGAACACTTTTAAATCATGGGTGGAATCATCCACGTTACAAGCTACATCCAGCCGTAATTGTGGTTGCACAAAACTGCCTGAATTATGTAAATATGCTGTCGAAAAGCTTTCCCTTTCACGGGGCAGCAGTGAACTGCATAGTGAGTGCAGCGCTCCACATGGTGTGCTGCATTCGGATCTTTTTCAGCGTGTCTTGTCCTTCCTTGTAGGTTGATACAACAACGTCCATCTCCTTAATGAGGCGGTCTGCCTCGTCCAGAGGAACCTGAAACACACGTGCGGTGCCGTTCACTGTAAAAAGATTTAATTACATTTTCATTGCATGGTAGTGAAGCTGTAATCATTACAATGTTATTTAAGTTTTCATTACATTTATGTTATTAAAATTTTCACTGCATTGTGAACTTCTGTATTGAAAATTTTAATAACAAAAATGTAATGAGAATGAACCAAGTTGACGCAAATTACGCAATACTTCGTTTCGATAGGAGATAAGAGTGGATTCACTAGGACTCTGGACAGCAGGGAAGAGGTAAAAATGAGTGACGCGGGACGTCTCAGGTATAGACAGTTGAGTCGCCTGAGTGAGGGAGATCAGGTGTTGACCTTGCCAAACGGCAGCCCGTAGACGCCTTCGAGCAAAAGAGGGCATTTTTCGGACATTCTTTGTTCTGTAGTTCTCATCTATGGACAGGGACCCCCGTTTTTCTGGAAGGATTTTGATTCTCAGTAGTGTTTTTTATCTAACTATAGTTTTTCATTGCCTTCTTATTACTCCTTATGTGCCAAAAGTAAACGTTAGCATGTTTTTTAGACCCGTTCCCCATAAGACCCATGTTAAAAATCCCAACTTTGACTGCATTTATCTCAGAAACGAGTTCAGGAAGGAGCATTTTGTTTGGTAACACTGACTTCAGCGCATGATTTTCTATCGATATGGATCAAATGGGGAACTTTTTTAATACTTTGTTAGTAACTGATGTACTACTTTAACAATCCAATACTTCGCATGAAACACGGATAAATTTGAGAATGTCTCACGTTTAAATATTTGAATACAAAATACAGAGTTGAGAGTGATCCCCGTGTACCGCGACACCTAGCGGCAGACTTGTAAATGACAGGTTTGACTTAGGACGCCGTAATGGACGATTCTAGGAGAAAATTGATGTTGGCGGCCATAAAACAAGGCAAAATTTGTTTTAGGAAACTCAATTTAAATCTTGGACAAATCAAAGTCATACTTAATTTCTTCTTTTTTTGGAAAGGTTAATGACATGCCTTTCTAAGTGTGGTATCCGTTTTACCGCCTTTCCAAATGTGGTACAAAAATAACCGCCCATTGAAGGCCGTTAAATACCACCTTCCACAGTTGTATCGACTTGAATGTTCCGTTTGAAGGGGAATATAATGCGGTACAGCGGTGAAAGGTGGTAACTTTAACCCCTTCAATGGGCGGTTATTTTTGTACCACACTTGGAAGGCGGAAAAACGAACACTGCCTTCGTAAGACCATGTGTACCGCCTTTCGATTTTGGGTGACACCCTTTATAATCTCTATTCGAGTAATGAATCAGTATCACCCAAATTGGGGGGACAAGACATTCATGATTCGAATCTGGATGACGTGACTTTGTCCAAAACGCGTTGCTGATCAAGACTCTCATTCTCAGTGCAGCATAGACGGGCAACATTTTTATCTTACCTTGCAGACTGCGTCTGGCTCGTCCCTATTCCAGAGGTGCAGAAACCGCCCAAAGAGAACCTGGACAAAAGGTCCAAGAACCCTATTTCTAATGCAGCTGTGCCCCGGGATCAAGACTTCCAGGGTCCGTAAGAAGTCCCGTATGAGTGCTTCCCAGCGAATCAGTTCCTCTGAAAACCACACGAGAAAATGGCGGTGAGCCGACGTTGCTTTCCGAATATCGATTGGAGGTGACTGCTTTCATGAGACAAGGGGTAATGGACTCGCAACGGAGCTGGCCGGAATCTCTGCCTTGCGAATTTTAGTTCACTATTTCTCCGACCAAATATGCGATTTTTGAGATGGCTCGGGCATTTTTGGAAAGAAGACACCTTGAAGTATGCCCAAAATTCAAAAAAGTTTCAATTTTCCCACCAGGGCTTAAACAGGAACAGCTTCACCGTTGCGCTTCTCAAATGCGCAGGGGCGACGCAGGGGGGACGCATCTTCAACTTGCGATAGAAGCTTCCGGATGCCGCAAAAGTGATGGGACATAGTTTGTCTTCGACATATATCAAGGTGCACAACTTGTCCCATCAGTTTTGCGGCATCCGGAAGCTTCTATCGCAAGTTGAAGATGCGTCCCCCCTGCGTCGCCCCTGGCACCATGGCCGTCACCCTGCGCATTTGAGAAGCGCAACGGTGAAACTGTTCTTGTTCAAGCCCTGGTGGGAAAATTGAAACTCTTTTGAATTTTGTGCATACTTTAAGGTATCTTCTCTCCGAAAATGCCCGAGCCATCTAAAAAATCGCATATTTAGTCGGAGAAATAGTGGACTACAATTCGCAAGGCATAGATTCCGGCCAGCTCCGTTGCGAGTCCATTACCCCTTCTCATGCTGCTTTGCAAACTTAAGTGTGTACATACTACACTCTCGTTTACAGCTTGCTCAGCACACTCTTATTATCAGCATGCTTCCAAGCACACTCGTATTTACAGCGTACTTGCTGGCACACGCCAAAATACAATGTGCCTTGCATATACACGCTAAATAAGAAAGTGCCTGCAAGTACGCGCTACAATATACTCGATTAGTCCAATCTAAAGCATGGGCCAGATTATGTGTACTTACAGGCACACTCTTATTTAGAATGTACTTGCAGGCACACTCTTATTTAGAGTGTACTTGCAGGCACACTCCACTTTCGCGTGGGCCTAGCAGGTATGCTGTAAAAATGAGTGTCCTTGAAAGCATGGTGTTAAGAGTGTACTGTATATGTACACACTTCAGTTTGCCGAGGGATACGTACAGGCCGTCCAGGAAACACTGATTAAGTTGCTAAACTTATTCGAAATTGATATTCTACCCGCTACTCTGCGTGTACGCTTAATTGTTACTATTAAAGAGGGCAACTACCTCACTATGCGTGTACGCTTTTTTCTTACTATTAAAGAGGGCAACTACCTCACTCTGCGTGTATGCTGTTTTGTTACTATTAAAGAGGGCAACTACCTCCAGGTTCCTAACACTTTACTAAAGTATTTGTTGCAAGAAATTCCTTACTAACACGAAAACGATTAACGATTTCAAGATCATTATTAGAGAGACAGGCAAGATCACCAGGTAATACAATATTACCTATCCTGGAACGGTTATTTCTGTTTAGAATAGCAAGAAAAGTATCGATACCAATCGGCAACTTTGCCTCGACGCCTCGACTCATGTCCTTCATTCCTTGTTGCAACATCTAGTCCGTATTTGTCCCAAATAAATTCGAAATCAAAGAGAAACAACGCAGATTAACAAACAAGCATAACTGAGACAAGCAGGGCTCCACTTCAAACCTGTCTCCTAAGTGAACCTGCGAGTTCACATCAACAAATGCATGCAATTTTAAGTTCACACTTTTGCTGGTGCATATGTCGCAAGTTCACACTTACAAGTGCCAATGCACGCCCTAAATGCGAGGAGAATCATGCGATTGATAGTGTGTTGTGGGCTACGGACGCCTTTGGTAGTGTGAACTAGCCTGTGTGGAATTGTAAGCGAGTACTTAGTAGGCATTTTGATTAAAAGTGACGTCCTCTCTTCCCCAGCAACAGAACTGTAGCTTCAGAATTGCATGCTTACCTTCATTGCGCTCCAGGCTGATGTCAACAAAATTGATGGCGAAGATGAAATGCAGCTTGGCTCGAAGTGCTATGGAGTGGGTCGGGTGAAGAGCGCCAACCGGCGTCAACTCGTTCTGAAGGAACTGCGCCCACGCCCACGGACTCTTCTCGGCAACCTTGGGAAAAAAACTGAAATTTCAAAAAGCAGGTCGAGTCTTGATGTGATTTAAAGACAGTGTTGATGAACTGTGCTCTGGCCCACTAAATAGCGCGCTGGGTGCGGGACTTGAACAACGTTGTTCCGCATTAATTCCTGCGGCGCATTTCCAACGCACATGCCAAATTTTGAGCAAATACAATGCACGAAAAGACTTAAAACTTTTTTAGAGTGGAGAATTTTCACCATATTACAGACATTCTCTAAAGGACTTTGAAAGTGCGATAAATTCAAAATCCACACTGGTAATACTAAAGCGTAGTATTACCCTCTGTTTTCAAGCGTAATCAGGTTACGCTTGAAATCAAGCGTAACATGAAATCAAGCGTAACAGGCCCAACCACCAAGATTCCCCCTACCTAAATGCATGGGGGAATTTCCAGAGTATGCTTCATTTGAAGCGTAATGTCTTCAAGCGTAACTTTATGCTTGACTCAAGCATCGAGTTACGCTTCAGTTTTACCAGTGCAAACACGGTTCTTTGCCTCGTTGGTAAGAGAACTCACTTTTTCGAGGCAGTCTAAGCGACGCAGAGGTCCACTCTTGGCTGCTCTCATTTCGGTCGAGGGAATCAGGTGATGGCAGTTGTTGCAGCGCGCATCGGGCTCCTCCTCGCCAACGGCCGGTAGCGGCACGGCCATGCCTGCCATGCAAACGGGACGGTGGGCAGATGAGCATTCAAGGTTCCTCGCATGCAGCAAACACACTAAACTCCTTACAGACAGCATCCGTGACACTTTTGAGGAAACCCAATTACGGATAGGTTTAGCTTGTAATGGGGATTATTTTAATCACAGAGGTCTTCTTGTCCGTAACGCACAAAAAGAGTTATCCGCTAAAGTCCAGACGAAGAATTCTGTGTATAACGTGTAGAATTATCCGTATAACAAGCTACATCCATCTGTGAACATGATTGCATCAAGGCCACATGGTATCCGCGAGACAATCAGTGTGCCTACACGCATGAATGTTATGGCAGCGCGTGGTAACATAACTTTTTTTTGGCGATTTTTGAAGTTTCGATGAGATAAAAAAGTTATGCATGAGATAACTTCGATTCTAAATGTTATTCAAAATTCAAATCATCCCAGGAATATTTTTTTTTACTGACCGTTTACGAGATGCAGGCACCCGAAAACTCAATGTAAGTTCAGTTACCACGCCCTGCCTTACGGGCTGTTTCAAGCCAATGTTCGATACATTCTGTTTCGTTGATTACACGGCGAGTTAGTTACAAAATAACGACGTATTTTCTCTGAAAGCTAGATATGCTATAAATACTTTACAATAACTTGACGTTGACGTTCCCTAAAATAGTTGGTCAGGTTTTGAGAGCGCCCCGCTTCGTAACGTCCTCGAAAAATAACATAACTCGTGGGGCCAAAAATGTCCAATGACATTTTCGGTGTGCTCGCCAACGATACTTTACGTACCTTTTTTGCAGTGGCTGCAGGGCCAGGAGTTGAGATGAAGGCCCAGGCGCGTGGGGTCTGAGCACAGCTTGCACGAGCACTGCATGTCAGAGTACCTCAGGTAGCTGCGTCGCTGAGCTTCCTCCATCAGAGAGTTCTGGAAATCGGAAACAGTTGGCCTTTGTTAACTGATTGATCTGAATTGTCTATAACTTGGAGAGCAGATCGCTTGCCGAAAGAAACTCAGTTTCTCTGAGGTGATCTACGATGTAAGTGGGACAAGCACTCACCCTTGCAATATGGAAAATATAGGGGCACTATATGGACAAAATATATGGCCCAACATGTATTGACGTCATATGTGGAAAAGATAATTTAGCAAGATACTTTTCCGATATAAAAAATATGTGGCAAATATATAAATTTCATACATTGCTCTATATGTGGCAATATATAGTGTAAATACACCATGGAGTCTGACGACTCAGAGACTTCCTTTACAATTATAAAAGAATGTAAACTTCGCCTTGCGAGGACATCCAATTGTGGTCCTACCGTGGCCACCTAGAAGAACTTTTCGCGCTACGCCCTAAAAAGACGTTTAAAATTTCCGAACTGTTCCAGTTCACTTGTTAAACAGGATTTCTCAAAATTTCTTGGAGACTTAAACGCATGGAAAAGAACCTTTCCCCTGCTCAATATATGGCGTCAATATATTTTACAATATAAAATCATGTTGAGAAATATAGCCGCCTTTCAACATCCAGTGCCGAGATTTTAAGAAAGGTTAGTTGAAAGTCTGCCCTCCTCACCCTGCCCCATCCCAAGACGGGGACCGTGTCAGATATTGAAACATATATTTCGCGAAGATAATATTATATGGGGAAATACATGCAGCATATATTAACGGGCACCAATATATACCCCCATATATAAACCACGTATTGCGCAAGATAATTTGCAATATATTGAGCAAGATACAATTATATTCACAATGCATGAAACACATATGGAGTCATATATTGACACATATTTTCCATATATTTTCCTTTTTGCAAGGGCATGGAATCCTGTTTCGGTTGTTTTGAAGAATATATTTCAGCTAAGTTTTATTTTTTTAATCAATGTTATGGTGACCTAAGATTGACTTTTAGTCACTTAGTCACTACACTGTGGCAAAAGAGTACGGAAAATTCTGTTAATTTTTTTGCCAGGATTCTCCGTAGCTCTCTTATCAATATTCTCCGTAAGCAGTTACAGTATTCTCCGTAGGGCCGTACAGTATTCTCCGTAGGACCGCACAGTCTTCTCCGTAGGACCTGCAAGACTGGAAAGTCCTACGAAGAATACTGTGCGGTCCTACGGAAAATCCTGAAAGAGCCTACGGAGAATATTGACAAGGGGGCTACGGAGAATTACCACAAGCTGATTACAGAAATTTCCGTAGCTTTTTGCCACAGTGTACCATGTGGGAAGGTTTTCACTTGACAGTACCCGTCGCGGCACAAGAATCACTGTCCCTCTAAACAGAATTCAGGGGCAAACCAGGGCCAATCAGCAGAGCCCAAAATGGACCATCGACGATTTGGCCCATTTTTGGCTCAAATGTTACCTACCCATAGGTAAACATCGGGGTAAAATTTCAGCCACCTAGGTGTCGTTTCATAGGAGTTATGGGCAATCTTAGTTTTTGACTCTTTTTCTTAAGTGGTTTTTGACCAAATTGCTACATTTTCCAAAAATCCCTCTCAAGTCTACAGTTTTACCCCTAGTTGGCTGAAAACTCTTACTTCAACGTAAAATTGCATGAGGAATTCGATTTAGGGCCCAAACGGAGCCCTGGGCAGTCTATCATAGAGAAAAACGCCAATTTTGACGAAAAATCACTTTTTTTAAGGTTTTACGTCGGTGCGTTTTAAAGCTACACCCGAATCCAAACTTGGTCAAGTCTATGCGGCAAATCGTACCTCATACCACCACCTAAAATAGCACGGCTCGACATTTGGGTGGTATGGGTATGGTTTGGGCGCTGCAGCCTTGGGAACTTTTAAATTATGAAAAACTAGCAAATTCCCCCTTACGTCGAGGTCAACCCTCATGCATTGGCTGTTTCGGGTTCAACTGAGGCCCCGCGGTAATATTTAAGTTAGAAAGGTCCTTCTTACCCCTCACTACCATCACTGACCCTCTGAGAAGCGCACTGAGGTCACTTTTGGGTCCATGGCTGCAGCCAAAATGACAGAATTGACGAAACGCTTGAAGGGTAGGCAACTTACGCGCCATGTGGGGGGCTGTTCTGGTCTAATAAAACATGTAGTCTAACATGTACTTCTTTTATTTTAAAGAGGGTAATGATCACAATTTTGACAAATTTGGCAGTTAGATAAAATACTAAGCTAGGAACAAAACTTGGCTCATTATACATTGAACTAATATCGTAAATTGCTGATCATTACACTAAACTAAGAACACAACTTTGCTTAACACGTTCACGACCGGACTCGTTTTGGGCAAACTTCCGCTCAGGACCTGAGTCTGCTTTGACCAAACCATGCATCTCTCGGACCTCGCGACTTGATATAAGCACGAATCATGCAATAACAAAACCAACCAGCCGAAGAAAAATCTGGGAACCCCGTGCCCGGACGGTCGCGAGGGCCATGCCCATTCACGCGGGTACGGGGTTCCCGTGTGGACGCCGAACGACATAAGATGCGGGAACGCAGTACGGAAACACGGTTCTCAGTCAAAATGAGTACCAAAATCATTTTATTTTCCGAAATAAGGAAGAAAATGCAAAAAGTCTCAGTTTGACGCTTGTATGGCCGTTTTTGAGTCCGGGAACCGTGTACCCGGACGGTCCTCCGAGACATGTCCAGTTCGGGAACACCCGTACGTAAAAGCTAAATGCTAAATGAGGGTATTTTCGGAATCAGCGGAGGGACCCCAGGCCATTCGCACACTTTATGACCTGTTTTGAGCTGTTACAACCAATCCGATTTCCACACGGCCTTCTTGACGTGCAGCAGAATCGGGCCGTGTCAAAATCAAGTAGGTTGTAACAGCTCAAACCAAGTCGAAAAGTGTGCGAATGGCCTGGGCTCGATCCGCTGATTCCGAAAATACCCTTATTTAGCTTGCTGGGCCGCTTTTACGTACGGGAACGGTGTTGCCGGACTGGACATGTCTCTGACGACCGTCCGGGAATCATGTTCCCGTACCAAATTCATCGAACGAGGTCCGTTCGAAAGTAACTTGCGTCTTTCGTAGAGGCGGTTCCAAAACAACGTGTCTCATGATCGTGACAATTCTGTGAGGCGAAATCGGAAAATCGGATTTGTCCGGAAACGGTGTTCCCGGATGGTCGTCTGGACTAGTTCCCATGGGTTAAGCGAAGTTGTGTTCTTAGTTTAGTGTAATGATCAGCAATTTACGATATTAGTTCAATGTATAATGAGCCAAGTTTTGTTCCTAGCTCAGTATTTTATCTAACTGCCAAATTTGTCAAAATTGTGATCATTACCCTCTTCAAAATAAAAGAAGCAGATGTTAGACTACATGGCGCGTAGGATAAGTTGCCTACCCTTCAAGCGTTTCGTCAATTCTGTCATTTTGGCTGCAGCCATGGACCCAAAAGTGACCTCAGTGCGCTTCTCAGAGGGTCAGTGATGGTAGTGAGGGGTAAGAAGGACCTTTCTAGCTTAAATATTATCGCGGGGCCTCAGTTGAACCCGAAACAGCCAATGCATGAGGGTTGACCTCGACGTAAGGGGGAATTTGCTAGTTTTTCAAAATTTAAAAGTTCCCAAGGCTGCAGCGCCCAAACCATACCCATACCACCCAAATGTCGAGCCGTGCTATTTTAGGTGGTGGTATGAGGTACAATTTCCCGCATAGAGTTGACCAAGTTTGGATTCGGGTGTAGCTTTAAAACGCACCGACGTAAAACCTTAAAAAAGTGATTTTTCGTCAACATTGGCGTTTTTCTCTATGATAGACTGCCCAGGGCTCCGTTTGGGCCCTGAAATCGAATTCCTCATGCAATTTTACGTTGAAGTAAGAGTTTTCAGCCAACTAGGGGTAAAACTGTAGACTTGAGAGGGATTTTTGGAAAATGTAGCAATTTGGTCAAAAACCACTTAAGAAAAAAGTCAAAAACTAAGATTGCCCATAACTCCTATGAAACGACACCTAGGTGGCTGAAATTTTACCCCGATGTTTACCTATGGGTAGGTAACATTTGAGCCAAAAATGGGCCAAATCGTCGATGGTCCATTTTGGGCTCTGCTGATTGGCCCTGGTTTGCCCCTTCAATGAATCCGGGGAGACAGACTGCATTTTTGCAGCATGCTCCGGCCAGCATATGCATTAATTCGCGCGTGCCTAGCTTGCCTGGCAAGCAGGCATGCGCTAACACGTGCACACTATGCAAGCTTTTCGGTTTACAGCGTTAACAACTGATGGGCTTCAAGGCTTTTTTGTCCTCACCTCGAGGTGGTCCATCGAGAGGCGCTCCCCGCGGCGAACCAGCCGCGCAGTCAACACCACGTGCTGCGTGAGGCCCGTGTCGAGCGGCGACAGCACCGAGAAGGTGTTGGGCTGGCACGCTTGCTCCAGCAGGACATTGCTCATCATCACGTACTGTCAAAAACACATTATGATAGCAATCAGAAACACTAGATAATATTTAAAATGATCCACGAAGCGGAAGAAGGGGGTAAGTCGAGTTGAATCCGTGCACTTTTGAAAGGCCTGAACCTTGCAGGTGGGAGAACAGGTGGGGAATGTCATCTAAAAATAGATGCAAGAGGATGGGACTTGGCTCACCACACTTATTTTTGGACCAAATTTTCGCTTACGTTTACTTGATAGACTGATAAGAGGTCACTGAAGCAACTCGACTTAACCCCTTCTTCCGCTTCGTGGATCAAATATCAACAAAAGTGGCCTATTATACCCTCATTTTGTGCATTTGTCCCCAAAAGCGGGTTGGATCGAATAATATGGAGGCCAGAAAAGTGGCCATTTGAATGGATCCAGTAAAAGGGCTTTGAATGAAGTGAGGTTCACCTTCGTGTGTTGCACTCGGACACTGGCAATACAAAGGCACTCAAACTGTTGTACAGTGAAGATTCTCCATATTATGGTGAAAATTTTTCACATTATGGTGGTGCACACACTAAATGTCATGGGACTTTTTTTGTCCCACGAATGATGCAATTTTAAGCACATCCGGTGGTGATGCAATTTTGTGTCCGCCAGGCGGGACAAATCGTCTAGTGAAAGTACAAGTTGCAGCTGGCGCCGGACAAAATGTGTCAGCAGACGGGAACAAAATTGTATCAGCGTCGGATGTGCTTAAAATTGCATAAACCGTGGGACAAAAAAAGTCCCATGACATTTAGTGTGCAGCTGACTTCATAACATACCGTTGAGAATTCACTGTACCCTATAGATATTTTAACGAATTTTATTTGAATTATGGAGAAAATCTCAACCATAATATGTTGGTGCAGCCTTTCACCGTAAGCCATTTACAGTGCGTGGTGAGCGATTCTCACGTTTCGGGGTAGTTTCGTTTCTTCTGACTCCTGTGCCCAAACGAGCGCAGATATCGACATGGGGTTTGTTTCTGATGTTAGGGAGGGCCATATCCCACTAAACGCACACATTTCGAAAAGTTCACGTTCGTTGGATTGGTCTACGTAGCGTTTCGAATACCCTAAATGTAACTTCCGTGATTGTCCAAAGAGCACATACTCGAACTTTCCACCCACAGTGTGGCGGTGTGGTTCGAAAATGCTGCCAACTGTCGATGGGGATTCGAAGCTTGGCATGTCTCGAGCTAATTTCAACCGAAGACCAATACGCCAGACTTCTTTCAAAGGTACTTATGCTGCAACGAAAAATGTCCTCCGTATATTCAATTTAACTACACAAATTTCGAAAAGGCAGCTCTGGACTTCTCCCCAAGCCAAACTTTTAACTTTCCATGACACAAGCCATCAAAGTGGAGTCCCTGGGAAATAATTGCATGGGTCGCGGAAATCTAAGATGCTGTATACGGTCTCAAAGCGGGCTAGAGCATTATAAAATGGCGTGTATCAACAATTACCTGTAACTTCCGTGGCACCCTTTACCCAATGTTGCAGCAGCACTAGGTGAAAAAATTTTCCACTGAAATGTCGGGCTGAGAGTATCAATTGACCCTGGAACGACTTTTAAGCCACAGCAAGCCCGAGTCAGCCGTTAAAGCTGATTTTGACACTTTGTAACTTCCGTGATAACGTAATTTCCGTGATCAAAACACCCACTAAAACGTATGGGAATACCTTATGGCTCATGTTTTAAGGAAGATAGTACAAGGTCTTTACTATAAATACCATTGCCATAACTCTAGTATCATCCAGGACCCCAATAATCAGAAAAACTTAATTGGATATTTCTCACTTTCGGCAAATCAGAGACGTCAAAACTACCCCGAAACGTGAGAATCGCTCTCGTGTGAATGCATCACGTCCTTTGGTAATGCAAATGTTGAAGGTCTGAAACCTTGGCTCCTACTTTCAGAGTCCATTCGGAGGATACTCTGCAAACCCGAGCGTGTTCCAAGCACGCACTACAAGGCACTCCCGTGTTTGGTGCATGCAAAGGCATGCGCATTTTGTTGCATGCTCGATGCTCCGCAAGGAAAAATACTGGTGCATGCCTCATGCCGTCATGCTGACTCCACAGAGCTTGCTAGCCGTAAGCTTGAGCTTACATTGTAATAAGGGATTGGAATGGTATGTACAACGTACAATGAACAGCACAAATTCGCAGTCGGTCGCTTCAAACTCAAACCTCTTGAAGGTCTCAATGACTGATGACTAACGATTCAGTTTCCAGCAAGGCCTAAAATAGCACTCACCCCCTTGGAAGGCTGCTCCTTATGGGTCAGCAGGTGATTCCTCACGGCGAGGAGGAGGGCCCGACGCAGCCGATTTTCCACGATCCACAGAACACCTAGTTCCTTCAGCAGCCAGTCACGAGTGTAGTGCCACACAGCCTTGGCCACCTGCGCCAGAAAAGGCATCTCCGACATTACACACTAAATGTCATGGGACTTTTTTAGTCCCATGAATGATGCCATTGCCATTTTAAGCACATCCGGTGGTGATGCAATTTTGTGTCCAACAGGCGGGACAAATTGTCTACTAAAAGTACAATTTGCAGCAGGCGTCAGACAAAATGTGTCGCCAGGCGGGAATAAATTTGTAGCAGCGTCGGATGTGCGTAAAATTGCATAAATCGTGGGACAAGAAAAAGGTCCCATGACATTGAGTGTGTACAGAGTCACTCTTGAAAGGGTTACGCGTGAAATGAAGCATGAACAATAAACTCCCACGGGAGTTTTGAGAATGAAAATACACTCTAAATGTCTTACGAAGAAATTTCCCATAATACGAAGAAAATGGCGCAAGCATAATACGAAGGTGTTTTTTCTTCGTATTACGAAGGTTTTTCTTTGTATCTTACAATGAAAAAGCAGAAAAGATTCGTATTACGAAGAAATATTGCTTCGTATTATGCTTGCGCCGAATCCACTGTAACATACGAATAACATAGGTCAAATTTCATTGTAAGACATTTAGAGTGTAGGCGGGTACCTCGCTCAACGACGCCTCGTCCACGTCCATGTTGCTCGCGAGGACTTGGTGCATCTGCGGATGGTCGTTGAGCCACAAGTACGTCCGCAGCACCGTCAGGGCGTACGACGCGTGCAGACCAAGCTTCACGACACCTGCAGAGAAATGTCGAGCTTGAGGTCCTGACTTAGAAACGCTGAGGTTCCAGCCGCTTTAAACCATTTTGGAAACCTACATCTTTGTATCATGGACAAAACCATCCGTATTACAAATGAAATTCGATCCGTAATACACACTCAACATCTTGTGATCGTTTTTAAACGTATTACGATGGTTTTTCATGTGAAGGTACGCATAAATTTGCACATACGTAATATGCTTAATTTTTCATCGTATTAGGCATGAATTTCATCGTATTACATACGTACTTCAATAAAATTCACGCACAAATATGTCCGTAACCTACAAAGACGGTATCCGAGAAGACTTCAGTGTGTGCGGATATTCCACGAGCAAGGGATCAGCCGCATGGCCAGCATTGAGAAGATCTCGGCCGCATCGTCGTGCTCAATTCGTTTACGAGTGACAGACAGTAAAACGAAGGGAGCTCACCTTTGTCGACTTTCGACTTAAAGTCAGCCTTCTCGAGGAGGGCGCACTCCGCTCGGTGCAGTCCGTCCGGGTCGCAGCCCTGTCGACACAGGGGCAGGCCGCAGCTCTTGCACCGACTGGTGCTGCTCACAGAGGTGAAGCAGCCACGACACAGGCACTGGGGACAAAATTTTAAAAAGTCCAACGAAAACTGGCACTTGGAAAAGTCTACGAAGAGACTAAAGGCGTTGTAGAATTGCTCCGCATTGTGAAGAAGTGCTTCAAAATACGAAGCAAATTCCAAAATAACCACTTTAAGCAAAGTAAGCATGTGAAATCAGCCAAAACACGGTAATATGGCACGTGTATTACCTTATATTACTTAGAGCGCGATCTGAGCTCACGACCCCTCGTATAATGTATTGGATTTCTTTGTCAAAGAAAGTGCCTTCGACTTATATCAAGGAAGGCTATTTCAAATGAGCTCATTAGTACACCCAAACTTTGGCATGGCCTGAAACTGGGCGCTGTTGTCCTGCCCCTTTTCGAGCGCTATATGTCGCCCAGTTTCTGAGCACCTTTGTCATCCTGTCTCGGGGTGCACAAACCATAAAGAAACCTGCCTTCACCCGTAGCTCAGAAGCGCTAAAGGTGCCAAAGGCGCCCAGAATCTGGGCACCCTCAGTCACCCATAAACTGAGCACATGTGCATTCTCTACCATGTGGGAGGGCCGCCAGTTCCTTAATGATTTGTGCACCCCAAAACTGGGGTGATTACAAGAGTTTCGCCTAAAACCGTAGTTGCGAGCTTGAATGCAGCTTACCAACACGGCTCAAGGGGAAAACTTTGAATTTCAATGTACAAATTTTTGAGTTCCGCAAGAATTTTGAACAAATTTTAATGAATTGCAGACAAACTTCACTGATTTTTAAAGAATTTCTGTAAATTTCGACAAAATTTCAAGGACTTTGAAAAAAAAATCGACTAAAATTCAAGATATTCAATGAACTTTGGTGTACATTTTTGTTTGGAGTTGTTTTTCCTCTCACACGCTTTGCTACCAATGTATTTAACCGCAAGGTCGTTTGTCCAACGAGGGAACTCACCCCGTCTTCGGAACCCGATGGCAGCTTCGGGAAGCTGATGGCGGGCACCTCCCGCATGATCCTGGTGCCAGCTGGGATGTCCCTGGCAGCGACCAGCCACTTCTTGCCCTCGGGGACTTCTACGGCGCCACAGCCCACTTTGTGTCTGGCCCAGTCCTCCTTCTGGTGATCGCGGCCGCAGTAGAAGTCGACGTAGCAGGTGGAACAGGCTCGCGACTTCGGCGCGCCGCACACGGAGCAATCGCCGAGCGTCGAGTCTGACAACGCGGGTTGGGCAAAGAAAAAGGTGACCATTACATTTCCTTTTTAATTACTACTTGACGTACTTCAAGCCTAAATGCCTATGAAGTACACTTCCACAAGTGCGTGCCTGCAAAAGCACACCGGTAAAACAAGGTAGGTGTACGACAGAACGTGTATCGACGTAACAGGCTTCGCGATGTTGCGCCAGTTGCGACAATCCACGCCTGGTGTTAACACCTACCTTGGCGCGGCGCTTCTTGCTTGCCCTTGGCAACCGTCACAAAACTTTATGTTGAAGCAGATAAACCATTTAAGTCGTGGCTGCGTGAAGAACAGGAAGAATCACAAAACTGTACTCTTTTGCACTCTTACTTCAAATATTTAAGTCCCCTTGCTACTAGAAAACTATTATCTAGAAAATGCAACAAATTCAGAGCGATAATATGCACTTTAAATGCCGTAAATACAGTCTTTTGCGATTTTTCTTGTTCTTCACTCAGCTCCGACTAGAATGATCCAATAGTGGCACTGCGTGATAGAGGATTCATTATCGGTTCATGATCGAAAATAGCCATAATGTCTAAACATCAACTCATTGCAAACCGAGGCCCTGCAAAAGCGCAAAGCGAGTTCCCACCCCATGCCAGAACGGCCGCACGACGCTGCTCTTTTGTTTCTCTCGTTCTGTCGTTGAGTTCCGAAGTACCCCATTTGACGATTTCTACAAGCTACACAGCGTCCAGGCAGATGAAAAGTTGATTGAAATCACGATACTCACAAACAATGGCGTTCTTCAGAGCAATCGCCATAATGGTTTCAGAATCGTAGACAGCTGCTGCATCAAACTGGAACAGATGAACTTAGGAATCTATTTCACATTCGCATCCGCATCAGTGATTCGAAGAGGGCTGATGCCGAAAAACAACATTTGTTTCGACCTTAGGCTAAACGAAAGAGGAGTCAGAGAGATGAAAACTTTTTTCGACAACATTTAAAAGTAAATGTCATCATTGAATTGTTAGATTCAATGCCGATGCTGTGCCGGAAGTCGGATCTTACTTCCGCTCTTCATTTGAATTTTACTTCCGGTCCATTGAAAAAACCTATCCGTTTAAAGGACAAGGAAAGAAACAATCTTATATGTAGAATACCCTTATGAAGATCTGCTTACAACCTCACGAAGTACTTTGAGCATGTGAAAGGTACAAACTTCCATTAAGCAGGAGGTGATAGCTCGATTTTCATCATTTTTTAGGGGAAACAAAAAACTGTTTGCAGGGAAGACTGAAAACAATTGGCATACAGGACATGAGCCCCGTCCCGTTTGAGCCCCGATGGTCTGAGCCCCGACCTGAGCCCCGACCTGAGCCCCAACCTGAGCCCGGGTTGAGCCCCAACTTGAGCCCCGACCCAAGCCCTAATTTTCAGAGCACGGATTGAGCCCCGACCTGAGCCCCGTTTGAGCCCCATTTGAGCCCCACTAGAGCCCCACTTGAGCCCCGTGGCAATGAATCATGCAAAAAATGCGTGATTTCAGGTCGCGGGGCTCAAAAAGGGCTCAAGTGGGGCTCAAATGGCGCTCAGGTCGGGGCTCAATCCGGGCTTGGGTCGGGGCTCAAGTCGGGGCTCAAGTCGGGGCTCAACCCGGGCTCAGGTCGGGGCTCAACCCGGGCTCAGGTCGGGGCTCAGACCATCGGGGCTCAAACGGGGCGGGGCTCATGTCCCGTATGCCAAACAATTAGATCAATGATCCAATAGCAGGTAAGTTTAACTGCTACTTTTAACATAAGAGTTTTAAGACAAAAGTTTAGTTAAGTCCTCTTGCCATTTTCTGCAACGGAGTCACCTCCATTTATTTAAAAAAATTAGAAAATGGTTAAAGTTGAGTTATATCCATTTTTCATGTCGATTTTCTCCGAAACGTAACTTATGGAACTGAGTAAAATAATAATTTGGTGCACTCTTAAGGTGGGACATCACTCCACACACTAAATGTCATGGGACTTTTTTTGTCCCACGGTTTATGCAATTTTAAGCACATCCGACGCTGGTACAATTTTGTTCCCGTCTGGTGACACATTTTGTCCGGCGCCAGCTGCAACTTGTACTTTCACTAGACAATTTGTCCCGCCTGGCGGACACAAAATTGCATCACCACCGGATGTGCTTAAAATTGCATAAACCGTGGGACAAAAAAAGTCCCATGACATTTAGTGTGCAAAAACAGTGCTTTTGTAAGAACGTCATAAAAACCAAACGGAAAGAGAAAAATTGTTCATATTTTAACAGATAAAGCATAAAACAACACTAAGTCAATCCGCCAGGGCAGTACAGCGCTTTCGTTGAAAACACATTTTTGAGTGTTAGGTTAGACCATTTCGCACGGTTGCAGCGCTGGACGCCAAACGGTTTGACCTAGAACATTGAAATTTGGTGACAGCCGTCCTAAGATGTCTGGATATGGTGGGTACCTGAATCACATTTAAAAAATCATTTAAAGTTGAATTTGTTACATGCCAAAAAAAATTGTTCAATTTTTTGGGTCAAAATTGTTCAATTTTGAACGTTAAAATAATAATAAAAATTGAGCAAATCAAAATATTTTGCTACCCACCATAGCGGCATGTCGGAAGAGCTTCCATGCTAAATCTCCCCGCTGTAGCTCAAAAACTGCGCCCTAGAGGCCTGCAACTGTTTGCAATTTCATGTTCCGAGAAAAACGCGATCGAAGTTGGGGAAACTGGGCTTTTCCCCTATGCATGTTTGCGGCGCACAACCTACTAAAACTGCATTTTTTTGAATTCCGGAATTCGGTTTTCACCATTCGACGCAGAAAGGAATGGTCTATAATATAAACTAATAAAAAAAAGTTGCATTTTTTGATCATTTTGGAGTGATGTCCCCCCTTAATGTTGTTCAGTGAAAATTCTCCATATTATGGTGGTGCAGCTGACTTCGTACACACCATTGAGAATTCACTGTGCCTTATAGAGATTTTGACAAATTTCGTTGGTATTACGGAGAAAATTTCTAACATATTACGTTGGTACGGCCTACTGTTAGACATTTACTGTGTGTAATGATGTCAACCATCCTGAGGCACAACAGTCAGATAAAAACTTAATTTGGATAGAAGTCGAATAATTCTCTTCTTCCGCTTCCTGGATTTATAGTTTAGTTCGTTGTACGGAGAAATCGTTCATAAAAAAATGGAGTACTTTCTGTGTAAGCGTAGGTATGCTTAAGATACTTTGAAATGACAAGCAGCTTTCCTTTGAAAGGCTTGAGATATTTCACAAGGTAGGTTTACGCCAGACCGCGTCTTGTCGTAACAGGCTTCGCGATGTCTCGCGGCCTGTTCCTCCAATCCGCGCCTGGCGTACCTACCTTGGCCTGCGGCGCTAGCCTGCCTTCGGCAGGCATTGGCTTGTCCATCATCGGTTACTTCTTACTTGTTTCATGCTGGGGGCGGGACCCCCTTCATTCCAGATAGAGTTGCTTCATCTACAGATAACACGATCTTGACCCTTGAAACTTTTTAACTTGTTGGGACTGGGGCAGAAGACTCAATTTTTCGCCGTTTTTTAGGTGTTTTTCGCCTATAAAAACTGAACCACGTGAGCTACGATAGTGAAATTTCGCGTGTGCCGAGCCAAGAACATACCTAATAAGCCTGCAAAATCTCAGCCAGATCGGCCGAGCCGTTCAGGAGGAGTAGTGTACACACACACACAGACAGACAGACAGACAGACACACAGACAGACAGACAAAACTTTTCAACCGCACTGGAGTAACGGGCTTCGCTATCGCTCAGCCAATAAGGTTTCATGGTGCACTCCGGAGAAGAACCAGACCGGAAGTCAAGTGAAAACGCTTTTTCCGACATTTTTCGAAAGTTAAGCGAAACTTTCACCCCACAGCAAGACTAAATTCACATATAAGAGAAATTGACATTACATTCCTAATAGAATGTTCTTCCAAAGAGCTCTGTCTCCGAAGAAAAGAAACACACACAAAATCTATGTGTGTACTCAGTACACTCCTCGAATCGCGTGCTTACAACCATGCACTTAGAGACGTGTACTTAAGCACGCACGTAGAAGTGTGTACTTGAATGAGTACACACTTTAAAAGAACGCACACTTTCAAAGTGTGTACTCACTCAAGTACACGCTTCTAGGTGCGTGCTTAGGCAAGTACACGCCTCGAAGTGCATGCTTGTAAGCACGCGACTTGTGGAGTGTACTGAGTACACACGTAGATTTTAAGTGCACAAATGGGTCCGAAATGACACTTTCTATGATAAATTAACGCTGCAGATCTGCTTTTGACTTAATCTGCCGCATTCAGCTCTCGTTAAAAAAATTGTATTTTTAAGTGTCATTGCCATACCAGCTATAGGGTACTTTCGTAGATCCCTAAACCGGAAGCACACAGACGCCATGTTGGCGGAAGTAGATCCAAACTTGACATGGGAAAGAGACGTTTGTCAAACGTTACGGCCACACTTGAACATAAACAGTCGTTTGATACTTGTTTGCAGTGCATATATGTTTCGCGAGCAATATTTGTACAGCTCGGCTATAGTTTTAGATCCAAAGAGAGGTTAGTTTCCGGCCAATTTGGCGTCTGCTGGTCTGCTTGCTTCCGGTTCAGGATCTACGAAAGTACCCTAATCCGGGCCAGAGCCGCTTTGGAGCACCCTAACAAAATTATTTGGAACTCACTAAGACGTTGTCTTAAATGGACTTCGCAGCGTACTCAAATGAAGGCGTTCAGGCGTTCCAGTTGCGTACTCCGGCTGTCGCACCACGCACCACTGCCGCGTTGTCCTGTGCGGCTGTCTCATTGCCGCTAGCAACCACTGCCCGCAACAATCAAACCCAACGAAACGGCATCTGACGGGAGGGGGAGCAACTTTCTCGAACTCGTATCGATGGACCTGCACCAAAGCGCCAAGTAAACCGGCCAGATTTCACATCTTGGGGAAGTGGTGCACTGAGAATGAAAGAGTCATGATCATGACCAAAATTTTGGGCGAGAAATTCTTTATCACTCAAATGTTGGTGAGGAAGGTTCCCTCGCCCAAATTTGAATGATAACGTACACCTCGCCCAACATTGGGTATGGATCATGACTTTTTCATTCTCAGCGTGAGAGTTGTGCACAGTAAAGTACTTATGGATAGCGTGTTTGAAGGTTACGGATAGTTTTATGCAGGCATACAACGGATCGAATTCGGTTTGAAATACGGATGATTTTGTCCTTAATGCAAAAGTATTGATGTCCGTAATTTCCAAATAATTTCGTTATAACACACGGATGCCCAAACATTTGTATTACAGACAAGAACATCCATATTACAAACAAAATTCGATCCGTAAATATGGCTGCACGAAACTAACCCTATCCTATACATACAAGGTAGGTGTACGCTAGATCGTGTCCTGTCGTAACAGGCTTCGCGATGCTGCGCCAGTTTCGACAATCCACGCCTGGCCTTGGCCTGCGGCGCTAGCCTGCCTTAGGCCGCTTTCCTAGACACACCGAAGAAATGGGCGTGATCCCCTCCAAAAATAGCATAAACTTTTGGTCGGTGGTCTGAATGAGTTCTATTATCGTCATCAGCAGCCTCAAAATCATATGAAACGACATGAAACTTGACAAAAAGTGTAAAGTACCTAAGCCGTTTTTTTGTGTGTTTTTGGCTAATACGACCGAATGGATTGAGATAGAAAGCTGAATTTTTGCCTAACCTAATTGCCAAACCTCAACTTCCAGCCAGGGCCGCCCCTGCCAGCAGGCCAACGACATTACGAGTGGGTCATGCTCCCTGAACCTCTACCTGGAGTGGCGGAGAAGGTGGCTATCAGGAGTGAGCGAACTCGGAAGCCGCGGGCATGGAGCTACGTACTTGTGCAACAACCGGCTCTCCATTGCAGCATGCCCCCACAAACAACAGTAGGTGGTTGCTGCTATGAAAACCTGACGGCTTCTGAACCTCACTTGCACAGCCTGCACTGCTGCTTAAATTTAACTGGAGTGTGCCTGGACGTACACTTAATGATTTGTTGCTAAGCTGCAATGCTTCATGGCAGAGCGATAGCGAAGCCCGTTACTCAGTAACCCCTGCACGAAGCGAGAGCTTCGCCTCACTTCTGCTTTGTAGTGTTACCGCCCCCTGCCTTTGGCCAGGCGTCGGAATTCCCAGTCAACCGTCGAGCAGAGTGGCGTCGGAAGTGGGGTGACGAGGAGGCGCTCAGCTCGCTGGTAACATCAAAGAGACGTCAGCAGCACTTGCGGCACCGACAGGACACAGCGGAGAGACTTCACGAGCATTTGAAGCACAGGCAGGTCACAGCGCGAATGGGGCACAGAGCGGTCACAGTTCACATGGCCACCCACGGCAGAACCTCGGCACGGTCGAGCGAACAGACGACGAAGCGCGACGCAACGTGAAGCTACGTATGTACTCCTGGTGGGACCGCCGGGGACGCACTGACTTCAGCCAGACCCAGTTGGACCGCACCGAGTGTGGTGGCGGGCGGGGGCGTCTGCTAGCGCCTTGCCGCCGCGTGGCTGGCCTGGCAGCCGGCTGGGCGTCCGGGGCTCGGATTCTCCCCGCGCCAGTCACGCGGCGGCGCGGAAGGATCCTGCTCGAGCAGCGGCGTAACGTGGCGGCCGCGCCAGCGGACTGATTCCGAGAGAAGTTTTCGTCGCTCGGTCCATCGCACTCATGGGGCGTTCCGAATAGGTGCGAGAGAGACAGCGGGACGTCATAGGAATCAGCATGCTGCCCTCTCCAGTGACGAGCGCAGACCTGTTACTTGACGCCGCTGCCGCGCTGCTTGCGGCTGCCCTTCCGCGCTTATCATCACCGCACGACGCGCCGCCCGGCCGGGCAAACTGTCACGGGTACCAGTTTAACATTTGCATGAGGAAACCTTACAAACTATTTCAGGCCTTTCAAAGAAAAGCAGTTTGTTATGACAGAGTATTTTGAGCATACAGAAGCTAACAAAGAAAACACTTCGTAATTTACTAACTATTTCTTCGTATGACAAAGTTAAATAAGTTAGTACTATGTGCGTTCAAAATACTTTGCAAGGTTTTAAGCGCGTGAAATCGTACCGGGTTCTGCATGTATGTTCGTGTCCCGACGAACGTGACTGGCACAAGTGAGTGGGCACGGCGCGGGACACTGGACCCCCTGCAAGTAGGTACACTTAAACTGGCCCGAACTGGCCCATGCTTTAAGGCAGAATAAATCGAGTGTATTCACCGTGTACATGCCAGGCACACTCCATTTTAGCGTGTGCCTAGCAAGCAGGGATCCTTAACTTACCTCATAAGGGCATCATAACGTTATCATAAGAGTTAAAGTTATTACCCCTAACTTCTAACATCTTTTCAAAAGGGTAAGTTATTTTTTTATGTCTCGAATTTGTGTGGATATACTTTTGCAAGTACTTTCATGAGTTGGTACCCTTAACCTATAGCGAACATTGTCTAATGTTACGTTATGACAGCAGCGTTACACTGCCGCTCAAAATTAGCGGCTCCCCCTGCAGGGGGTGGGGGTGACTGGAAGGGGGTGCGTTTGTCCGATTGCAATTCCGCTTGCACCGTTGGAAAGAGGAGACTCATTGGAGTCGGTACACAAAAAAAATCGCCTTTCCGACCATTTAAAGTGAAAAATTTCGACATGTTTGTCTCGGTTTTTTCACCCTTACGCACTGTAGGGGTTGCACAGGCCGTTAGGGGTGGCGCACGGACCGCGCACTTCGCAAGCCTTAAGATGAACAATGGGAGCACCCGCCTACCAAATTTCAGCATCCTAGCTTGAAAAACATAGAAATGGCGCCGGTCGCAAAAAAGGGGCCGCTAATTTTGAGCGGCAGTGTAGTTAAATGTTGAGTTAAGTTAAGGATCCCTGCTAGCAAGTAGGTTGTAGATAAGAGTGTGCTTCGAAGCATGCTCTAACGAGAGAGTAGTACTTAGTACACAGTTTGCAGAGTAAATTAAAGAGGGCCTCCACTGTGAATCCAAGCGCTATGAATATAGCGTCAAATGGCGCAGTGTAAAAGCATTGCACATGAAGTGCAATGCCTTCCCATTCCCATACGCTAAGAGTAATTTCGGGACGCATTGCACGTAAGGTGCAAGATGCACGGTGAAAACTGTACCTGGTTTTCGCCTATGGTAAAGACATAGGCGATTGCCAGGAGGTCCCTGGGAAAACCAGGAACAGTTTTTACCGTGTCCTTGAGGCATTGCACGTATGGTGCAATATCTCAAAATACATTTCGCTTTTATCTCTCGCAGTGCTGATTTAGCGCTCAGCTGGCGCCTGCAGCGGCGGGAATGGGCAGATTCCCTTGATCGCTTGATGTCTTATTTTGTCAGATTTTGATAATGTTTTACTCCATGTAGGTGGGAAACATGCAACCTATTTGTGGGCCCATAAAAGTTCGGTTGTTTTCGCTCTTTCACTTTGCCGTGGCTTAGGGCAATTTATCGTAGTGTCGCGTGCTACCGCCCGGGCAGTTTCCGTAGTACAGGGCTCACAGAGTACTGTCGGTCCTCGTTTCTTTTTTTGTTTCTTTTTGTTTTGGTAGGTTATGAAACATGGCCCCCCGGCACTACTGTTTGCTTCCGAGTCTCATTATCCGCAAGTAAGCGACTTCACTGGTAAGCAAAGCGCCAGTTCCACACCTGCTTAGCGGTTGGAGCAGGAAGTCCGTTCTTCCAAATACCACCAAAAGGTTATTTTTCTGTAAAAGATTCACTACGAGAAAATAATTGTTGTTTGCTGATCGATAGTTACCTGAGTAGTGCAAAAAAATCGTTTTCTCTCTCTACTCTACAAATCAGAGAGCGTACATTGTATGCTCTAGCTGGAGCATGCCTACAAGCACGCTCTAGTTAGCGCATGCCTGCCAAGCATGCACCAACTACACTGTAAGGTCGGGTTTAGTGGCCTGACTAAGTCGAGTTAGGGTCCCGTCCTGACTAAGGTGTTGGTGGCCTGACTAAGGCTCAGGGGTTGGTCAGGCCGGATTATAGCCGGCCGTTGATGAGGGTTTGACAGGTCCCGGTGGCTCGCTCCGGCGTCGCAAAAGAATTAGTAGAATCGGACTCGAACCTTGGCTTACTGTTTGAAGGCAGTGGACGGTACCACTACGCCACGAGGCTCGCTGAGGAGAGAGCGATCCTGGAGCAGTCTCTAGCCGGGCACTGCCGGCCTCCCTCGCCTTAGTCAGACGAGCCGAGACCCTTTTCCTTAGTCAGGCCACTAACTCCGACCTAACAGTGTAGTGCATACATGCCATGTACACGCCAAATGAAGCTTGCATCTAGTGCAAGGGATAGGGAGTTGCCTGCATCAGGAAGCGTGTACATGGCAGGTATGAAACCGGGCAGCCCGGTATGTATGAACTAGTGAGTGCATGCTTGGCATGCATGCGCTAGCTAGAGCGTGCTTGCACGTATGCTTCAGTTAGAGCATACAATGTAAGGGAAAGTGGGGCGATTCGTAACAAATACGTTTATTAATAAAAGTGGAGGGTGCAGAGGAAAATCTAAGTGTGGCCCCTCTTTCGCTACAAGTAGAGTGTCCTTGAACAATCGAAGCGGATGTGATCGGGGCTCAGGTTAAAACAGGCAAATCTTAGATTTTGAGTTCTAGGAAGTTTCTGTCTGAGGCTACCCAGATCACCATCGAAGTACCGTTGGGGTCCTGAAGCGTGACCCCTTTAAAATGTAACCACGTGGCAGAATTCACCCTAACTTTGTTTAGTGATGGTTAGGGACATACTTTTGGCGTATCATACGCATTAAAAGTAATACGTAACAGACTCGTTAAAAAAAAGAATTTAAGTAGTTTATAAAATTATATGCTTGAATTATTTCTTGAATCATGTGCTGCCTTATTGCAATAGCATTTACACAGCAAAATATGGTTTTTAAAGCGAGTTTTCAATCTATCCTCCGAAATTGAAAAAAGTAAGTTTAGGGTTGACAGTTGACATGGCCGATCAGTTCATGCTGAGGCGGTCGACGGCAGCTTGTAATGTAGGTTTAAGGGCGTAGGAGCGCAAATTTTTTTTTCACTAATTGTTAGTGATCAATGTGGTAAGGCACCATGTCAAACCGTTTTGCCCGGCGACGCACAGTTTCGGCGTCGCGACGCCCCTAAGTTGGAAATTTTCGCTGTTTTTTGACATTTTCCAGACCACACGACGGGGAAATCAAAGTTCGCAGCGTCTTGAAACTTTGCACACTTGTTGGCAGGGACTGTATGCAGGGGATGGTCTATTCCAATTTGCGCTCTAACTTCTAGTAACGTAACTGGAACGCCTTGAAAATGAGTGATTTTCAGGAAGCTACCGAGCGGAATGTAATGAAATGGCGAAAAAATGGACCATCACATCCCCTAGGCCATGCCTTTGTCAGCACGGGCAAGTTTTTTCCATTCCTCTAGAAGGTGTGGTACTCGCGTCGTGTGGTCTAGAAAATCACTCAGATTTGAAGGTCCTGCACCAGTAGAGAGAGACAGGCTGCTTCGGCCGATGTGTTGTTTCTGTCGCTCAGCGGAGCTCGGGGCAGGTAGTCGGGGTCCGGGGTGACGCGCCGGGCGGACAATATGGGAGCCGTCGAGGATCCGTCTGCAAGGCAGGCGGCACCGGGCCCCGACCAGTTTTGGCCGATTTTCGTCGCGATTTTGGTAGAAATTATCGTACTCTACAAATCAAAGAGTGTGCATAGTATGCTCTAACTGGAGCATGCCTGCAAGCACGCTCTAGCTAGCGCATGCCTGCCAAGTATGCACTAACTAGTGCATACATGCCATGTACACGCTTCCTGATGCAGAAAACTCCCTATACCTTATGCAGTAAATGTATGCTTCAGTTAGCGTGTACATTGCATGTATGCACTAGTTAGTGCATGCTTGGCAGGCATGCGCTAGTTAGAGCGTGCTTGCAGGCATGCTCCAGTTAGAGCGTACCATGTACACTCTTTGATTTGTAGAGTAGAACAAAAAT